TGTTTTAACATTACCATGTTGAAGAATTATTGCCTTGTTTATGAGAGACAAGTGGGTGGGGCAAGGGAAAAGTTAAAAAAATGTTGAAACCTGCCAGATAACAGCCCCAACCCCAGTTGTGTGGGGGTGAAGTTAAAGGCCAGCATTGATTTATCACAGTGAGAATCATGAGAGAAGATCACTACCCTGCTTCATCCTGTTTGGGTCAAGTGGTGAATCTGACACTTCACGATCTCTAAAAGTTCTCGAATACTGTGTTAGCAAGAATTGTTGAATTCGGGACAGGCGTGGCCCTGAATCGGAATTTGGCCAGAATGAGTGTTGGGTGAATCGACAGAGAACAGGCGACCTTTCCTTACGTGCCTTGTGCCAAGTGAAGTTGACTGCCTGTTAAAGGGCCCCAGAACTTGAAGTGACCCGAGCCACCCAAGGTATAAATTTGGCACTGGCAGAAAAAAGGTGAAATTCTAGGCTAATAGGAAAAGGTATGTCAAAAAAATAGCATGGGGGGTGAGAATTGCCCTGGAGAACATGTACCAATGCAAAACAAAACAGGTTTTTAAAAAATTCCATGCAGCCGCTAGCAGTAATTTTTTTTCTCATATACAAACCAAAAAAAGTTTAAGGCCTCATGCACACTGGACATTTTGCAATCTCTCCTAACATTCCTTTCCTCCTGGCAGCAGCATTTTGGCTGAAAAACTGCCTGATACTTGTAAAAGTGTGTAACACATTAAGGCTACGTTCACACTAGCCTTGTTAGCAAGCGGCAGACAGGGGCTTGGGAAGCGTTTTTACCATTTCCCAAATGCCTGGGAAGATTCTGCACATTACAGCACATGGAGCTGTTCAAACGGGAGCATTAGCGTCGTGGCAAAACGGACACCTCTGGTCAGGAGGAGTTGAAGCCTCCTATTCAAGTCTATGGTGCCGCTCCGAAAAACGCCAGGCCGGCATTTGCAGTGCGGTTGCGACGTGGTTGCGGGGCGTTTGCGGAGCATTAACACCATTCAAACTTCATTATAGGCGTTTGTGGGGGGTGTTTTTAATGCTTGGCAAACGCCTAGCAACCACAGCTAAACCACGCATGCAGCGTTTAAAAACGCTAGGCAAATGTCGGACCAACGCTTATCAAACGCTATAGGGGCGTTTGGCAAGAGTTGGAAAAACAGTCAAATGTGAACGAGCCCTTAGGTGCGCTAAGGAGCACCTTTGAAGGCTTTAACATTGCTAACAAATTAATTTGGCATGCTTCTGGCAGCTTCTTTTTTTTTTTTTTTTTTTTAAGAAACCAGCAATGAATGTAATTTTCCAGCAATTTAAATGATTTATTTTTTCTTTGTATCTGTCTACATGCTACAGCAAGAATGAAAAAGTGGGTACCTCACACCAAAAAAAAAAAAAATTTAAAAATGTGTGATTTTTTCCGTAAAAATTGATCTGTGTCTTCAGCCTGAGTGACCAGGAAAGGGGGGGTGGTGATGACCATGCACCCACCACCATGTCAGAGCCTGGATTTGAACTCACGACCTCTGCTGTGGCTGTCAGTGGCTCTTCTGACTCAGACACCTGAGATGCTAGACAGCACCCTTCTGATCTGTTACACAGTCTTGCCTTGTACCTTGTTTTTCACAAACATTTAACTTTTTAGTTCTCCCATGAATTTCCTGATTTAAGTCATGTCTCTGCACTTCCTGTTTGCCAGATTATTGTGCTCTCTCCATTCAATATGTCACTCCTGCCGCCATCCAGATTTTTGCCACTCGTTACCGACCTTTGGCTTGTTTCTTGACTATGCTTATATTTGATCCCAACCTGAAACCACTCGTTACTTACCTTTGGCTTGTTTACTGACTACACTTGCACTTATCAATACCTGTTATATCTGCTACTGGCCCAAAGCTTGCTCATCTCTTGGTGGAGCAATCCTGAGAAAATCCCCATCTCCACCATCAGTAGCTTTTGTAAACACCAGATAGTACTTAGACTACACACCTTGGGTGAGGCTGTGTAATCCGCCAAGGTGACCTGCTGCTGCATATATCAAGCTTGTCGGTGGGGGCCTCTCTACTGCTATCGCTACTGGTCTCTGACCTGACCCTTGACCCTGACACGCCCCTTCCCTGAACCATACCAGGCCACATGCCCCCAACATGTGGGAGTGCCTTGCTGTGGGGTGGTGGTGGATCTCCTGGAAAAGCACCTTATCCCTGTGTTGGTGAGGAAAAGGGCCACTTACCCACAACACTTGGTTGTGGTCATCTTGGGGGTTATCAGAAAGAAACTTAGAATAAAAATAAACAAATAAAATAAAAAATAATAATATTTATTTCTGGATTCATATGTAGAAGTGTACGTAGTAGAGATGAGCGAAGAAATGAAAAATTTGATTCGACTGATTCGGCGAATTCGTGGACAATATTCGATTCGAGTCGAATAAATTCGCTGTGAATTTCACTTAAAAAAGGGTGTTTCTAGGCTTCAGAGAGACTTAATATTAGTGCAGAACACTGTACCTTTAATTTAAATGCCCTTGGAGTCTGCTGGGGAAGAGAAATAATACTGTCAGTCAGTATGACATGCAGATGAGTGCAGTCGATCTTAGAATCACCGCACACTTCACTCATTTGGCCAGTCACGGGGCCCAAAACCAGTGTTTGGAGCCACAGTGTGGCGGTGGAGGCAGCAGCAATGGGAGGCCATACAGCAACCTATGACAAAATGGAAACCAGCAGGAGTGTGAGGAGACCTGAAAGTGGCACATGGCAGAGTGGGAGCAATGGGAGGCGGTACAGGGACCCAGGTCACACTGTGGGCCCAGCAGCAGCGTGACCAGGCGGTACGGGGGCCCATGGCAGATTTGGGGCCTGGCAGCACCTATGGGAGGCCTGTAATCTGCCAGCACCCTATGACAAAATGGAACCCTGGGCTGGGGCAGGCAGAACCGCCGTATCTTTATCACGGTTTTCCCAGGCCACCGAATGGCGACGCTGCATATGCTGACGCAACGCTGTAGTCCCAACATGGGCCCCCTGGCCACGCTTGACTTTCTGGCCACATAGTCGACATACGGCTACGTTTACTTCCTCGGGCGGCTTGACGAAAAATTGCCACACCGCAGAGTAGGAAACTTTGCCTCCGCTACTCCTCACTGGCTGACTGCTACTTCCTCCGTGCACACGGCACCACTACTGGCCGTGGTGGTAGGCTGCAGTGGAGCTGGTGCTCTACTCCGTGGCCGTTTGCCTCCACTGACACTGCTGCGACCCTGCTGCCTCCTGGCAGCAGCAATGGGAGGCCGTACAGGGACCCATGAGAGACTCTGGACTTGGCAGCAGCATGAGGAGGCGGTATATAGGGGCCCATGGCAGATTAGGGGCCTGGCAGCAGCTATGGGAGGCCCGTAATCTGCCAGCACCCTATGTCAAAAAATTCAAACACACCAGCAGTGTGTGAGAGAGACCTGAAAGTGGCACATGGCAGAGTGTGGCGATGGAAACAGCAGCAATGGGATGGGAGGCCCGTACAGGGACCCATGAGAGACTCTGGACTTGGCAGCAGCATGAGGAGGCGGTATTATATAGGGGCCCATGGCAGATTAGGGGCCTGGCAGCAGCAGTTATGGGAGGCCCGTAATCTGCCAGCACCAGGCCGTACAGGGACCCTATGTCAAAAAATTCAACACAACAGCAGTGTGTGAGGAGACCTGAAAGTGGCACATGGCAGAGTGTGGCGATGGAGACAGCAGTGTGGCAATGGGGAGGCCGTACAGGGACCCATGAGAGACTCTGGACTTGGCAGCAGCATGAGGAGGCGGTATATAGGGGCCCATGGCAGATTAGGGGCCTGGCAGCAGCTATGGGAGGCCCGTAATCTGAGCCAGCACCCTATGTCAAAAAAATTGAACACACCAAAGCAGTGTGTGAGGAGACCTGAAAGTGGCACATGGCAGAGTGTGGCGATGGAGACAGCAGCAATGGGAGGCCCGTACAGGGACCCATGAGAGACTCTGGACTTGGCAGCAGCAGGAGGAGGCGGTATATAGGGGCCCATGGCAGATTAGGGGCCTGGCAGCAGCTATAGGGGAGGCCCGTAATCTGCCAGCACCCTATGTCAAAAAAATATCAAAAACACACAACAGCAGTGTGTGAGGAGACCTGAAAGTGGCACATGGCAGAGTGTGGCGATGGAGACAGCAGCAATGGGAGGCCGTACAGGGACCCATGAGAGACTTTGGACCTTGGCAGCAGCATGAGGAGGCGGTATATAGGGGCCCATGGCAGATTAGGGGCCTGGCAGCAGCTATGGGAGGCCCGTAATCTGCCAGCACCCTATGTCAAAAAAATTCAACACACCAGCAGTGTGTGAGGAGACCTGAAAGTGGCACATGGCAGAGTGTGGCGATGGAGACAGCAGCAATGGGAGGCCGTACAGGGACCCATGAGAGACTCTGGACCTGGCAGCAGCATGAGGAGGCGGTATATAGGGGGCCCATGGCAGATTAGGGGCCTGGCAGCAGCTATATGGGAGGCCCGTAATCTGCCAGCACCCTATGTCAAAAAATTCAACACACAGCAGCAGTGTGTGAGGAGACCTGAAAGTGGCACATGGCAGAGTGTGGCGATGGAGACAGCAGCAAATGGGAGGCCGTACAGGGACCCATGAGAGACTCTGGCACCTGGCAGCAGCATGAGGAGGCGGTATATAGGGGGCCCATGGCAGATTAGGGGCCTGGCAGCAGCTATAGGAGGCCCGTAATCTGCCAGCACCCTATGTCAAAAAAAATTTTTCAACACACCAGCAGTGTGAGGAGACCTGAAAGTGGCACATGGCAGAGTGTGGCGATGGAGACAGCAGCAATGGGAGGCCGTACAGGACCCAGGGACCCATGAGAGACTCTGGACCTAGCAGCAGCATGAGGAGGCGGTATATAGGGGCCCATGGCAGATTAGGGGCCCTGGCAGCAGCTATGGGAGGCCCGTAATCTGCCAGCACCCTATGTCAAAAAAATTCAACACACCAGCAGTGTGAGGAGACCTGAAAGTGGCACATGGCAGAGTGTGGCGATGGAGACAGCAGCAATGGGAGGCCGTACAGGGACCCATGAGAGAGACTCTGGACTGGCAGCAGCATGAGGAGGCGGTATATAGGGGCCCATGGCAGATTAGGGGCCTGGCAGCAGCTGGCATAGGGGGCCCGTAATCTGCCAGCACCCTATGTCAAAAAATTCAACACACCAGCAGTGTGTGAGGAGACCTGAAAGTGGCACATGGCAGAGTGTGGCGATGGAGACAGCAGCAATGGGGAGGCCGTACAGGGACCCATGAGAGAGACTCTGGACTTGGCAGCAGCATGAGAGGAGGAGGCGGTATATAGGGGCCCATGGCAGATTAGGGGCCTGGCAGCAGCTATGGGAGGGCCCGTAATCTGCCAGCACCCTATGTCAAAAAATTCAAACACACACAGCAGTGTGTGAGGAGACCTGAAAGTGGCACATGGGCAGAGTGTGGCGATGGAGACAGCAGCAATGGGAGGCCGTACAGGGACCCATGAGAGACTCTGGACTTGGCAGCAGCATGAGGAGGCGGTATATAGGGGCCCATGGCAGATTAGGGGGCTGGCAGCAGCTATGGGAGGCCCGTAATCTGCCAGCACCCTATGTCAAAAAATTTCAAACACACCAGCAGTGTGTGTGTGAGGAGACCTGAAAGTGGCACATGGCAGAGTGTGGCGATGGAGAGACAGCAGCAATGGGAGGCCGTACAGGGACCCATGAGAGACTCTGGACTTGGCAGCAGCATGAGGAGGCGGTATATAGGGGCCCATGGCAGATTAGGGGCCTGGCAGCAGCTATGGGAGGCCCGTAATCTGCCAGCACCCTATGTCAAAAAATTCAAACACACCAGCAGCAGTGTGAAGAGACCTGAAAGTGGCACATGGCAGAGTGTGGCGATGGAGACAGCAGCAATGGGAGGCCGTACAGGGACCCATGAGAGACTCTGGACTTGGCAGCAGCATGAGGAGGCGGTATATAGGGGCCCATGGCAGATTAGGGGCCTGGCAGCAGCTATGGGAGGCCCGTAATCTGCCAGCACCCTATGTCAAAAAATTCAACACACAGCAGTGTGTGAGGAGACCTGAAAGTGGCACATGGCAGAGAGTGTGGCGATGGAGACAGCAGCAAATGGGAGGCCGTACAGGGACCCATGAGAGACTCTGGACTTGGCAGCAGCATGAGGAGGCGGTATATATAGGGGCCCATGGCAGATTAGGGGCCTGGCAGCAGCTATGGGAGAGGCCCGTAATCTGCCAGCACCCTATGTCAAAAAATTGAAAACACAGCAGTGTGAAGAGACCTGAAAGTGGCACATGGCAGAGTGTGTGGCGATGGAGACAGCAGCAATGGGAGGCCGTACAGGGACCCATGAGAGACTCTGGACTTGGCAGCAGCATGAGGAGGCGGTATATAGGGGCCCATGGCAGATTAGGGGCCTGGCAGCAGCTATGGGAGGCCCGTAATCTGCCAGCACCCTATGTCAAAAAAATTCAACACACCAGCAGTGTGTGAGGAGACCTGAAAGTGGCACATGGCAGAGAGTGTGGCGATGGAGACAGCAGCAATGGGAGGCCGTACAGGGACCCATGAGAGACTCTGGACCTGGCAGCAGCATGAGGAGAGGAGGCGGTATATAGGGGCCCATGGCAGATTGGGGGCCTGGCAGCAGCTATGGGAGGCCCGTAATCTGCCAGCACCCTATGTCAAAAAAATTAACACACCAGCAGTGTGTGAGGAGACCTGAAAGTGGCACATGGCAGAGTGTGGCGATGGAGACAGCAGCAATGGGAGGCCGTACAGGGACCCATGAGAGACTCTGGACCTGGCAGCAGCATGAGGAGGCGGTATATAGGGGCCCATGGCAGATTAGGGGCCTGGCAGCAGCAGCAGCTATGGGAGGCCCGTAATCTGCCAGCACCCTATGTCAAAAAATTCAACACACCAGCAGTGTGTGAGGAGACCTGAAAGTGGCACATGGCAGAGTGTGGCGATGGAGACAGCAGCAATGGGAGGCCGTACAGGGACCCATGAGAGAGACTCTGGACCTACTGGCAGCAGCATGAGGAGGCGGTATATAGGGGTATTGGCCATGCCTATGGCAGATTAGGGGCCTGGCAGCAGCTATATGGGAGGCCCGTAATCTGCCAGCACCCTATGTCAAAAAATTCAACACACCAGCAGTGTGTGAGGAGACCTGAAAGTGGCACATGGCAGAGTGTGGCGATGGAGACAGCAGCAATGGGGGGAGGCCGTACAGGGACCCATGAGAGACTCTGGACTTGGCAGCAGCATGAGGAGGCGGGTATATAGGGGCCCATGGCAGATTAGGGGCCTGGCAGCAGCTATGGGAGGCCCGTAATCTGCCAGCACCCTATGTCAAAAAATTCAACACACCAGCAGTGTGAGGAGACCTGAAAGTGGCACATGGCAGAGTGTGGCGATGGAGACAGCAGCAATGGGGGAGGCCGTACAGGGACCCATGAGAGACTCTGGACTGGCAGCAGCATGAGGAGGCGGTATATAGGGGCCCATGGCAGATTAGGGGCCTGGCAGCAGCTATGGGAGGCCCGTAATCTGCCAGCACCCTATGTCAAAAAATTCAACACACCAGCAGTGTGTGAGGAGACCTGAAAGTGGCACATGGCAGAGTGTGGCGATGGAGACAGCAGCAATGGGAGGCCGTACAGGGACCCATGAGAGACTCTGGACCTGGGCAGCAGCATGAGGAGGCGGTATATAGGGGCCCATGGCAGATTAGGGGCCTGGCAGCAGCTATGGGAGGCCCGTAATCTGCCAGCACCCTATGTCAAAAAATTCAACACACCAGCAGTGTGTGAGGAGACCTGAAAGTGGCACATGTTTGAGGCATGATTCATGGCGGATTTAGTCAGTTGTGTCAGGAACTGGTGGTTTGAAATCCAGACTAATCCACGCCTGATTCATTTTCACAAACGTGAGTCTCTCCACACTTTGGGTGGACAGTCGTGTCCTCCGCGGAGTTACAATACCTCCTGCCGCACTAAACACGCGCTCCGATGCCACGCGCTACTGGCCGGGCATGACAGCCTTTCAAGGGCAAATTCAGCTAGTTGGGGCCAAAGGTCAAGTTTCGTTGCCCAGTAGTCAAGGGGATTGTCTACCTCGGTTGGCAGGGTGCTGTCCAAGTAGGCCCAAGCCTGTTGTTTGAGCTCCTGCTCCAGGTCCACCTGATGCTGCTGCTGCTGCTGCGGCTGGTTAGTAGTTTCCTCACTGCGCTGGTGAAGAAAGCTACTCATCATCGACTGCAGACTGAGGCAGCCGCTGCTGGTGGGAGCTGCCACTGCTCCTACCACCCCACCCCTCCCCTGCTGCCATGCCAGCGGAACGCGAGCGCACAGGGCCCACAGTGTCTGAGGATGGACGTTGGCGCACAAAGGCAGACCAACTGACTACATAGGTGGTTTTTTTATAGTACGTAATTTTGGCCTCCCTCTCAGCAGGTGTGAAAAAGGCCACCATTTTGGACGGTAGCGAGGGTCCAACAAGGTGGACAGCCAAAAGTCATCCCTCTGTCTGTCTGATGGTTTATTATTCGGCTGTCGCTACGCAAGCAAGCAACCGAGCATGCTATGGGCCATTTGTGCCAAGGAATGCGAGGGGGACTCCCTGCCTCCATCTCCACAGCATACTGCCACGGTGCGTCTGGGTCCTCTCTCTCTCCTCCTCCTCCTCCTCTACCAGATGCTCCTGCTCCTCCACTCCTGTCCGCTGAGTGGAAAAACCACCCATTTCACTCAATAATTCCTGAGCACAAATGTCCTCCTCTACCTCCTCCTCTTCTTCCTGTCCTGCCCCCACAGGGGTCATGTGGCGTTGAGATCTGTGCGCCACGTCTACCGCACCCTGACCAGCCATTGTTAACAGCATTTGTTCCAGGACGTGCAACAGAGGAAAGACGTCGTCGTTCATCCCATAGTCCTGCCGACTCACGAATAGCGTGGCCTCCTCAAAGGGCCTGAGCAAGCGGCAGGTGTCACGCATGAGCTGCCAATGGCTGACATCTAAGTTACACAGGGGAGTACCTTTATATCCGCTTGTAACATCAGGAAATCGGTGATGGCCTTTCGCTGCTCGTAAAGGCGGTCTAACATGTGTAGGGTTGAATTCCACCTTGTTGCAACGTCGCAGATCAGGCGATGCTGTGGAATTCCGTTCTGCCGCTGCTGCAGCTCAATGAGGGTGTTCTTTGCGGTGTAGGAATGGCTGAAATGCATGCACAGTTTACGTGACATTTTAAGGATGTCTTGCAGTGGGATGGTGGATTTTAGGAACCGCTTGACAACCAGATTTGAACACGTGAGCCATGCATGGCGCATGGCACAACCTTCCTTGACGACGCAGAGCAGACACCATGTTCTTTCCGTTGTCGGTCAACATGGTTCCGATTTTCAGTTTGCGCGGAGACAGCCATCTGTCGATTTCTCTGTTCATTACACTCAGCAGTTCCTCCCTGTGTGTGACTACGTTCGCCAAGGCATACCAGGTGCAGCACAGCGTGACACCGTTGCGCCCTGCACATGTGATATGCCGGTCGGGTAATGGGACTTGGCACGGGGGGTGGTGGTGGCGGCTGAGGACACGGCGGAAAAAAAAAAAGAGGTGGTAGAGGCGGACATGTTTGCTGGACCAAGGACGTGCAAACGTGGAGGCAAAAGCGTCGTGACCTGTCCAAGTTGCTGGTGCGGCTGTGCCGGCACCACGTTCACCCAGTGGGCCGTAAATGACATGTACTGTCCCTGACCGTAGTTACAGCTCCACACGTCGGCGCTGCCGTGCACTTTGGCAGAGACCGACATGCTCAAAAGACTGGCCCACCATCTCTTCTACATGTGAATGCAGGGCTGGCACTGCCTTTTGGGCAAAGAAATGACGGCTTGGCACTCTCCACCGCGGCGCGGCACAAGCCATCATTTCTCGGAAAGGTGCTGAGTCCACCAGTTGGAAAGGGAGGGACTGCAGCACCAGCAACTTGGACAGGAGGACGTTCAGCTTTTGCACCGTCGGGTGCGCGTGCTCGCAAACTGTTGTCTCTTGGAAACGGATTCCAAGAAAGACTGTTGACGGAATCCGAGAAGAGGAGTAGCAGGAGAAGGAGCATCTGAACGAGCGGAAGATGCCCAACGAGCGACAACTCCCCTCAGCAGAGGTGTTGGAGCCTTGACTGGCTGATAGAGGGTGATTGACGACGTCGTCGGGTGACGGAGCAAGTAACGGAGCGGGTGATGGAGCGGGGGCTGGGGCAGGCAGAACCGCCGTATCTTTATCACGGTTTTCCCAGGCCAACGAATGGTGACGCTGCATATGCTGACGCAACGCTGTAGTCCCAACATGGGCCCCCTGGCCACGCTTGCATTTCTGGCCACATAGTCGACATATACGGCTACGTTTACTTCCTCGGGCGGCTTGACGAAAAATTGCCACACCACCGAGTAGGAAACTTTGCCCCCGCTACTCCTCACTGGCTGACTGCTGCTACTTCCTCCTCCGTGCGCACCGGCACCACTACTGGCCGTGGTGGTAGGCTGCAGTGGAGCTGGTGCTCTACTCCGTGGCCGTTTGGCTCCACTGACACTGATGCGACCCTGCTGCCTCCTGGGCAACCCACCCGACTGTTTCGCTCGCTGCCAAGCTGGCACCCTCTTCTCCTGATGATGCGGAAGAAATTGCCTGATGACGACGAGGCAGCCAAGTGCGATCAACCTCCTCTCATCATCATCAGGTACGGTCTCCGCCTCACTACTAGCCCCCTCGGCTGCGTCTGGGTCAGGAGACAGACCTGTCTCTAGACCGGCTACAGAGCCACTCTCCTCGCCAGTACTTCTTCGCCTGGCTGCTGAAAAGGCCGATGTCTCCCCCCGTTCCTGACCGCCCTCTGTTAGCTCTTCCTCACTGTACAGTGGGGCTGAGCCCACAGCATGCGATACTTCGCTTGGTGAGGGAACAGCAAAGGACAGGGGCAGGTAGAGGACATGTGATTTCAGTGGGCTTGCTCCCGGGCCATGCCAACTAACGGTTGTGTCTGACGTACCCACCGACCGTTGGCTGTAGGTGTCAGAGGTGACCTGGGAAGAGGAAGACGACCGAGCCAACCAATCAATGACGGCAGGGTTGTCGGTGGAGACACGACCGCTGGATGACACCGGGAGCACTGGCCTCTGGCTGCGAATAGCTGCTGCCTCGACCCCTTCCTCTGCTGCCACGTCTGCTCGCTCCCTAAAAAACATTGCCTCCTCTGCCACTCCTCTGCATGTTGTCTGACATACTCTTTAATTCAACGATTATGTGTCCCTGAGTAACATTTCTCTGGCACTCAGTAACAATTCTGTCTGTCCCTGAGTAAAAATTCTGTGGCCCTAAGTAAGTTCTGTGGCCCTCAGTAAAGTTTCTGTGTCCCTGAGTAACAATTCTCTGGCACTCAAGTAACAATTCTGTCTGTCCCTGAGTAACAATTCTCTGGCACTCAGTAACAATTCTGTCTGTCCCTGAGTAAAAATTCTGTGGCCCTAAGTAAGTTTCTGTGGCCCTGAGTAACAATTCTCTGGCACTCCAGTAACAATTTCTGTCTGTCCCTGAGTAACAATTCTCTGGCACTCAGTAAACAATTCTGTCTGTCCCTGAGTAAAAAATTCTGTGGCCCTAAGTAAAAGTTTCTGTGGCCGTGAGTAACAATTCTCTGGCACTCCGTAACAATTCTGTCTGTCCCTGAAGTAACAATTCTCTGGCACTCAGTAACAAATTCTGTCTGTCCCTGAGTAACAATTCTCTGGCACTCAGTAACAATTCTGTCTGTCTGTCCCT